GAAGCAGTTCCAGTACCACCTGACCGGACTGCAGGGGGTTCTGTCCAAGCTGACCCAGCAAGCCAACTCGCTCACCAAGCGCTACAAACAGGAAATTGGCATCGGAGGATGGGGCCAGTAAAGAGAGGCGCGCGCGCGCATGCTGGACTGTCGATTTATTTTTTTTATATATATATATTTTAAGACATATTTTGAAAAGGCTCACTGGCTGAACTGAACTTTTCTTCCTCGGCGGGCCTGATTTCTGCTGCTGTTGAAAACAATTATCTGAAAGGTGGCGAAGAGCGCAGCGGTCTTTGGTCCTGATTAAAACATTGACGGAACTATTTAATCCTCTATTTAACGTATTTATTACCTCCCGTCGTGTGCTCGAGCTGTTCACACGAAAGCTTGTAACGTGGGGAAGAAGTGGACTGAACCGAGACTGTCAAATGACTCGTCATCTCCTCTGCCGAGACGACGGTGATGTCAGTGGGTTCACGTGGATTTGTCCTTTGCTGACTCGCTCGGTCTGATGTTTTGCTTAGATTTTTTTTTTGTTGTTGTTGTTGTTCTCTTTGTTTAGAAGGAGGCAGATGCTTTCTGTACAGCTTGCCCGTGATCTCTTTGTGTCCTACATGGTCAATGAACTGGAATCAAATGAATAATTCTTCTGCCAGGAGAATGATGAGGGTTTCCATGAGATGCTTGTCTCTGTTGTTATTGTCGTTTAGCCTGTTCGGTATTATTGTTATTACAAGGTCCATCTGTCAAAACAAGCAATTACTTTTGTATGCACTTTTTAAAAAAAATATACGTGCACTTAATAAACTTTTATACAAATGTACTACTTTTTGGAGTGTCATTTTTCTACCTGATTGCATTTATGTCACACGATCAGCAACCTTCACATTTCAGTGCGTAGTATTATTCACAACTGTTACTGCAACATATAAGTTTGCTATTTTTCCATTTTTTAGTAATGATGCCACACCTGCTAAGTTCTTGGGTGTTAAAAATAGTCACAAATGTTGCCTGTTATATTTTTAGGATAGGGATCGAAACTGACTGTTGTAAAAATGTATTTAAAATTTTTGAGCCATTTAGCTATACATTTAAATGTGCTATAGAACACACATTTGCACCCTTAGAGAGTTACACAAAAATTACTAACGATGATTCATTTATTTCTTAGAGAAAACAAGCGATCCAGACCAACATAAGTGAAGTAGACCTGTCATATTTCTAGAACTTAAATTTATTATGATTAATCCATGTTTTTGTGAAGCTGAGTTAGGTTAAACTAGCCTCATAGTTGCATGGCTATACTGCCAGGTCTGTAAATTCAAGAAATCACTCAAAAGAACCTGTACGATGACAGGAAGTATAGGCAGGAAGATCTAAAAGAGCAAAACATGATGATCCAATCTAAAGAAACTTGAGAGCAGATTAAAACACTTCTGGGAGAATATCCCCTGGACTGATGAAACAAAAGTGAATCTTTTTGGGAAATAAACCTTCCATTACATTTTCTTAAGCTACAAAACTAACAGCATAAGAAAAAAGGACTGAAAAAGAAAAAAACGGACCGAGTCACGATCTGTATCTCTTTAGCTGCCTGTTAGCAGTCTTTTTGTCCAACTCTGATCCCTCGTCAAGATCAATCTTAAACGATGGTCTGCTGAAGAACATACAGTAAATAATATCACTATTTGTACCATTAGTGTTCAAAATACACCGTTAAAATTTGCCTCATTGTGGTGCAAATTCACTATGACACAATTAGCTTTAATGTGTTGGACATTAATTTTGGTGATAAACAATGCTTTGCATAATTGAGTTCTAGCAATATACCACTGACCGTGTTTTCCCAAAACAAGCTGTTAGTGGAGAAAGGTGGCTAATGTGAGGACAAAACAACAACAGGAAAAATGACTTCATCTGTTTATGGTTTGGCTAAATACAGTAGCTCTGAAAGAGAGATACAAATTTTGTGCACGTTTCATTCTATAATTTAGCTTGCAATCATAGGCTACTTTATTTGGTAACAGTATTGCCAGTAGCTATATTAATAGAAGCTTTGCATAGTCACTTACTACGCTGAGTGTGCTTAAAGAGGGTTGTGATTAAATGGCTAGCAGGTTGAGGAACATTCCCTGTGTCTTAAGTTTCAAGTGCCAACACCTTGAACCACTGATACTCAGCAAACTGGAGTCAGTTTTGGTATGTTTTGATGCTTCATGCAAAGGTGCAAAGGTGACTGGGTCTAGAAACACGTTTCTTTTCTTCTTCCAGATTCCGCAGCTGAATAAAAATCGAAATGCCTCAAACCTCTGTGATGTGAGTTGGGTACTTCACTCGCTTGAGAATCGTTGCTTCCGTTGTCTGAATCTAAGTTGCGTTATCTTAGTTATGTAAGGCCACAACATGAAAAACAGGAAAGAAATTCCAGGTTTCTTTCGTTATTTTGCGGCTGACTCACAACAAAGGCTGGAGCTGGACCTTCGGTGGCACCGTAAGTCAATAACGTTTAACACCCTCTTTCGCCTTTGATCGGCTGGCATTATGGCTGCTGCACACAAACATAGAAATAAAGCACAGAAAAATCTAGTATGTCAGATTTAGCTCCAAGAGTTGGTCAACTTATTATTACTATTACCATTAAACATTGCAAACATAATTTTAAAAAATGCTCACTGTGTGTGTATTAATGACCAGCAATTGCATGCAAAAGTTGTGACTTCCTTCAATTTTAAATAACGACTGTTGAACAAACCAGACTTTCTTTAAATCACTAAAATTCGTTTTGAGGAATATTTTTTCAAGGTTTTAGTCATTTTATTTTGTCATATGCTGCTTTTTACTTTTCTTTTTTGGTCATTTATTAACTAAAAATCTGGCTTGCCTGAATATTGTGTGCAGTGAATTCCTTAAGAAATTGAGGATTTTGGATAACTGGATAACAAAATGAAGGAGCAGCATGTTAGAAATAAATGGGTTTAAAAAAATAAATGGGTTTTTGTCATTCTACGAATGAATCTGAACCTGAAATAAACTCATGGATGCAACATACATCAGTCGTCCATTTTTATGCAAAGTACCTGGCTGATATTGTTCTATAGGAACACAATTACTTATATAACTAATTTTGCTGTCTTTTTTTATTTTAAATGTCTACAGATGTAACAAAAACAGTAAGTATAAAATGTATTTCTCTAGTCCAAAGGCATAGTAATAAAATAAAAAGCAAGAAATATGGATGTTACTTTAAAACGATCTCCTGAACCAGATGTCCGTTGTATTTTTAACCTCTGGAAAACAATTAATCTTAAATCTCACCCTAAGTAAGCTTTATAAATAAAGTTTGATTGAATGATTGTAAATTAGTTTGCAAGTAGAACAGATAGTACCACAAAGATAAGTGTATTGAATTGTAAAAGGAGGACGTTATAAATAACCATATGATTAACCACAGAGATAATAGTGTTACACAATAAAACAAAAACAAATCTGGGCTGGGCCATCTCACTGTAAATTGTAGTTTTGTGTACTTATTGTCACCGCTGTAAGACAAAACCCTCGTATCACCAAAAATTGATCTTTTCAGGAAATAAAAGGAAAAACGACAAATCTTGCTTCTAAATGTAAACTTAACACTGTTTAGTCAAAGTTATGTTGTTTTGTTTTTTGTTGTTTTTTTAAAATACACAGTTCAATGGAAACCCCAGACAAATTTGGAATGTGATCAAAGTTGATTTTCCCCAAGAACATAAAAACAAACTACTAACATGTTAAATAAAAGTTACGTTTTAGGAGCAACTTTATATGATGTAAAAACTATTGTTGGAAGGGTTAGGCCAGCAACAACAAAAGCATCAGGACAAAGACAGTACTACACACCTCTAGGCAGTTCACCCATGTTTCATAAGAGCGGTTAGACGACTTCTCATCTCTTACAGGTACAATCTTAGTTACATAACAAGTTTCTGCTTTGTCCTTATGGAAATTTATGGTCATTACCTTTATTATATAAATCCCAACTCACGCATATCAGAAGATGTTAATTTAAGAGTATACCAAGAATCAACATGTACTAACGTATAACGTTCAAAATGTAGTGTGTAGTTTTTAAATGGCTTTACAGAAATAGTGTGATATTATTTACTCAGAAGTGACCAGGCAAGTGTTCAATCTATGTGTAATTTAATCGCTGTATAAATATGAATACAGGTGTTCTGTCAAGACATCCATACTAACTCTGGAGGAGCTGCAGAGATCCACAACCAAGATGGGATAATTTATTGATGTATAACTTTTAGTTGTGCACTCTTTAATTCTTTGTACGTTGCTGGCAAGATTTTACGTGATAAGGAAAAAATGGCAAGAAGAAAGCAGTTGTTGAAAGAACGTCATAAATGTCGCCTTTGGAGTTTTACACAAGTCACAGCAAACATATTGGTGAAGTCGCTCTCATAACAGAGATCAAAACTAAGCTAATTTTCTATGTGTGGTAGAAGCCCTGGGCACACCACATATTTCATGAAAGGTGCTGGTGACAGGATCATGCGTATAGTATGATGGTTTAGCTCAATTGAAGGCAATTCTGGAAAAGGAAAACATTTTTGGAAGGCAAAACCGAAACATACAGTCAAAGGAATTCAATCCATTTTGTGAGAGAGCCAGAATTTCAGTCTCCACAGATACAAAATTGGTGCAGACCCATTCAAAAGTACTCTATCACATAAAATCCCAATAAAATACATTAATATTTATGTTTGTAACATAATTACTTTTGGAAAAGCTCAAGGGTTACAAATTCTTTAGGTCAGGATTCTTAGGACAATTTTATTTAACGACTTAAGTTTCTAAACTTAAATGGTGAATATATAAAATGTCTTCCTCTGAGTGGAATTTCAAAATAACCCAAAAATATTTAAAGCATGTTTGAACTTACAGAAAAAAAATTCCCTCATGTCACACAGGGTTTCATCATGCAAATACTGGGAGAGTTTCCCTTTCTGTCCCTTAGCGCGCACGGTAGTAACAGGAAGTAAAAGGGAAGCTACAACCAAACCATAACAAGCTGAGCAGAAGTATTTATTTTAAAGAAGTGTTGTCTTAAAAATGGACTCTCGGAGTTTAACTAACGAGTCACGCTGCGTGTTTTTTAACTCCTCCTCAAAGGACAATCGATGTGTAAGTAGCCACTGTTAGAGTAGCAGCAGCTTTAGCTTTGGAGCTAATTAGCCACATAATCACGTTGCTTGTCAGTTTGTAGTAGACAATTGTTGTCATTATTAACACGAGTATTATTTATCAATGATGTTTTTTTTGGGGTCAGTGATTATCAGTTGGCCAATTGATAAACGGAGCTTGACTGCTGCATGTTTTCTCATGCTAATAATAGCAGTGAGCTGCCAGCCATCCTGAATAATTAGCATCATTTCACCGTTGCTGACAGGAATCCCACTGAATCAGCGCCAGTTTTCAGGTATACAGCGTTATTAGCCCTGAAAAAGACATCGATCTGTAAAAACACCCAGCAAACATGGGGTGCAAAACAAACTAATACTGTAACTGGAGCTGTTAGCGTCATAGCTTTGTATCGAATCCATTGTTTACAAATAACTAACAGCTCATTTGCAGCAGGAATTGAATGATTTTATCCATGTCCAAGAAACACGATGACACAGAAGTTTAGTTCTGTATTTCACACAATTGAGAGTTTAAATATATCGCATTAGCTGTGTGAAATTTGTACGTCACAGTCATCACCATTAATTTGGGCATTTGATTTTGGCATAATTCTGGATGGATATTTGAACTTTAACGATCAGATATGGTAGCAGTCATTTAAATGGGTTGGTTTCCTGGTTCCGACGTGACATTCCAGCATTTTCTAAATATTTTCAAAAAGACTGGGGTTGTGGCTTTAAGCAGGACTTTCAGGAAGCATTCCAAATCCAGTTTTGATGGGTTTGACAGATTAATGTTTTTTTTTCTCGAATCATCAACTTCTCCAGGTTTTAACTAGCCGACCCAAACAGACAGACAAGAAAATCACTTAAGATGTTCAGGAACAACCTAAGAACTACTAAAGCCTATCATGAACTGGAAAGTTGCTAAAGTGCTGCTGTCTTCAGTAAAGCAGCTGTTACATCAACATGGACTCTGAAGGCACTTAGCTAGAAAAAAGCCTTAAGCATGACTGAAATTTTTCAGCTACCTGCATGGACAAGCCAAACGTCTCCCAGATAAAACTGTATTGATTACAAGAGACAATTATTGAGCTTTTTGGCCACAAGTACATGGCGTAGATTTAGAGGAATTAAATTGAGAGAGGCCTTAAGATCAAGCATGGTGGTGGGACCAGCAAGCTGACAATCTCCGTTCTTGCTTCCAGGAATACCGTTGCACAAGGGTTCGGAGGAATGATGAAGGAGCACTCTAAATATCCAGCCAGATCTATTACATAAGCTTGTTGAAGTTTACAAATAGTATCTAGCGTCTCTGTAACTTTCCAAGAAATGTTTACCCGAATATATATTTGGGGTTGTATGTAAATATTAGTAGTTCAGCATTGCTTGGATCAGAGAAAATTCACAATACATATAAACTTGCGATCCCAGTTCTTGTTTTAAACGTGCAAGCGTATGTAAACCTCTGAGCAGCACCATAAGAGATGTCTTACATCAGAATTAAGAGTTCCTCTGTCATGGCTGCTGCCTAGCTGCTATTTGAATTAAATAATCCTGTACTGTGCATAGATATGCCGAAAGAAAAATGTTAAACAGCCATTATAAATGATTTTGGTTCAGTTTGATAGAAAGACAGTGCTGCAACTCTTATGCAAATATTAGACTTTCTTGAAGTTGGTGTATTAAAAATGTACACACAACACAAACTGACAGTAAAGGCCATCAGAGACAGTAAACAGCAAATGCCTCGTAGATGTATCGCATTACCATCATGAGGCGGGATGGTTATAGTACATGTGGGGCACACAGACGCCCCAGTATCCCAGCATCACTAAGTTGAAGTCAGTTAGTAAACTGACTTCAAAATAATTCATTTGAGTTTTGTTAAGCAGCCTTTTTTTTTTTTTTTTTTAGCTAGTTTTAAAAATGTAACCTGGTAACTCCTGGTACCAGCAAACCCTCCATGCTTACTGGGGATGCACCAATCAACTTCCGATACTGATACAGATATCTGAGGTTTAGTATCAGCTGATACCAATCCAATACAGAAAAACGGTGCTGAATTGACTTTAAACATCTCTTTTTTTTTTTTTTTAAACACGTACATAAATGTACTGAATTACAAATTTATTTGATAACTCTGCACCAGCACAGCACACTTAAATACACCGGTAGCTTCATAAGCTTGGCCAAACATGTAAAAAGAACAAAGCTTTAATTTGTTCACTCAGTGCAAAGCATAGAATTAGACGGAATAGATCTACACTTATGGATCTGGCACTGTTCTGAAATTTCTTCCAATATTGGGATCGATACCGACATTAATATCGAATCGGAGCATCTCTAAATATGGAAGGTCTTTCAATTATTCAACAGATAGATGTTTTGTAAAAACAGCAACATGTTGCAGTGATGCTTCCCCCCGCCCCCAGGCCTTTATATAGATTATCAAAGTGATCGAAGGATGTTTTTTCCTTTTTGTTTGCTTGTTGATGATGCGGCTTTCCTCACACACTGCTGAAAACCGCGTGTAACACGATAGCAGCGACGTTCCAGATCTGAGCGCGTGGGCATGCCCTTCTCTGCTTTGCATGCGAGACGTCTGCTGGCCTTTTCATTTTCCCTGAAGCCCGCCGGACTGAGTAGCAGCCTTCTCATTCTCTTCATTCCTCGGTGCTTTTCCTTTCATTTCGGCGCGCCACTATCCTCTGAGCTTAGCAAACACGCAGAGCGTCTGGTCCCTAGCTCTGCTCATTATCACATCTGCCTGCGTCTGTACGTCGTGTGTCTCTCAGCTGTCACTAACCAGCATCCCGCTTCCCGCATCCCCCCCCACCCCCTCTTTGTTTGCTGCCTGGCAAAATAGGTCGGATTCGTGTGGATGTGACATCCGCGAACACCTTTGAGTACACGTCTCAGGTGTCAGTACATTGCAGCTGTTTATGTTTAGCGAGCTGGAGTACTCTGAGTGCAAATCTAATTTTGCAATCCCTCCCCAGTCTCTGGTGTGTTTGCATACACGTGCACACAGACACACACAAACACATACACACAGGTAAGCTGGAACAAATGGCAGTCTTGTCGTCCTGTTGCCGTCTGAGCTCGTGATTATTATGATGATAGCGCAGCATTTTCTCCGCACTTCCGAATATGTTTCCAGAGGGCTTTACCTGAAACAAATTGCAAAACACACGTTTAAGTGTGCCAACCACTTTAATATGTCGTGAGCCGTGGACTAATCAATTGTTTCTATTTCACAGGCGGTGATTTTATCAGTAAAACGAGCCACAGGAACCTTCTCCTTAGTCGGATGGTGAATATTTCCCTGTCTTTTATTCTATCAAATTAGCAGAGCAGGAAAAGTAACGGGGATTTGTGTTTTCCCAATTTAGAAAGCCTGTTTATTTCCTTTTTAAATGGTTCAACATTTGTAAATGGTTAATCAGCAGAAGGGGTTCCATCCACTAACAACTTGTCAAATTCTATTTGCCGATACTGAGTAGGTCTCGATGGAGGCGTTGGGATGTTGTAGGGAGGCATCTTACTGGAAACTTAAGCATTCGACGTAGGGTTGGACAAAATGACTTCAAAATAAAATCTTCAATTGTTTTATACCAGGTCCGATTTTTGATTTTAATCTTTTTTTTTTTTTTTATTATTCTCTAAAGAAGAAATTACAAATGGGAATATTTTCAAAAAGTGGCTCGATCATCCCATTAAATCATGATTTGTACGGTAGAATATTACGGCCAGAGTATGAGATTTTTTTTTTTTAATTATGAGAATATAGTTATATTATTACCAGCATAAAGATGCAATTTTGCCAGAAGAACATCTTAAAATTATGAGAAAAAAAGTTGTTTCAGTAAAAAAAACTAACAAAAAAAGCTTGGATTAAGTTTTTTATTTTTCGTGTTTCGTGTTAAAGTTCTCATACGATTACTGTTTCATCCTCCTAATATTAAGACTTTACTCTTGTAATATTAACACTTTAATATATTCCAGAAACATTATGACTTTTTAATTTTGTTAAAAGCACATCTTAGCCTGACCCTCATATTTTGTGGTAGAGTTGGCTTGAATTCAAAGTCCAAATAAACAGAAGCTGTAAGCATGCCTGTCAAACAAGATGGCCGCCCTCGGTGTGCTGATATCACTCTGAACGATTGAAACCCGAGAATCGGTCAAATAAAATCCTGATTTTCCAAACATTTAAAAAAAAAAAAAATTAGATTAATCGATAAAACCGATTTATGTCCCAGCCCTAATTCGAGGGAATCACAATGCAGAGAGATGTTCAGGTGACTTTCCTCAGCCACTGTAATCTCACATCCCAGCTCTTAGCGACTGAGATCTTTCTCTCTAGAAGTCACAGTGCTTTCCTTCCAGAAGAAGGGAGTATCAGAGACCACGTCCAGAATTTGGGAGTTGAGACGACGGACTGCAGTCTTGCTTTCAACCCCACTGCCGGGATGGAGTCAGGATCTCTGAGTTTAACTTTTTGTGTCAGATTAACGCATCTTAAATGCTGGTTGACAAAAAGGGATGCCAATCTGGTGACCATCGTAAAGAGCGAAGGTGCCAGGATATTGTGGTTGTGTGCTGTTTTCCAAAGCAATACAACACCTCCTGTTTGCTAAATAAATAAAGTGTTTGTCCAACTTTATCTGTCTGATCCAATTAACAAGCGTCAAAGAAAGTCAGCAAAAGTTGAAGTTGTGATGCTTTCATGGGTGAAACTGGATTTTGCTTCTCGAACCAGAATTGCTTTTTTTTTTTTTTTTTTTTACTGTTTCAAGGGAAACAAATGGGCTTTTAAACGGTACATTATTTTTAACGAGAAGCATTGCTACTGCAAAGCAATAATCAGGCCAACAAAATGTTCTTACCTTTTGTGCTGTGTTTCTTAATTGAGCTGTAGAGTTTTCCTTCCTAAAGAAAACATAAAGGGCCTCATATTTAGCATGTGTAGTAAACAGATATGTTAGATCTGTGATTGAGACTCTGAAATTGGGCTGTGCAAAAATATTAAGATTTAAAAAAAATATTTCTTAACATGATTTTCTTGCCACTCAAATTATTGTTGGAATATTCTGAAATTGTCGGTGCGAGATTATGCCGTTGCAATAAAACATTCATTTATTTACAGGCCATGTTAACCATGGGTCCCAATAAAAGGGACAATTAAGAAAATAAATAACAAAGAGGAGTTAACAGTTATAAGTGGTTGGGTGATAATTGTCGTTGCTCATTAAGGACGTGGCAGCACCTGTCTTGGCCGTTGTAAATAAATTGTGTGTCATCTCGGCAGTAATTGATGTCATTCTTAAAGGGAGCATACCGTAGCTCGCAAGTTTCAGTGACATCAGCTGCAAACGATTCGTATTGCGGCCAATTTATTACAACTTCAGGCTGCACTGCAACAAACAAGCAATAAAAAGTAACAAGGTAAATAAAGTTTTTTTGGGGGGGAAAAAAAGCGTCTTAACAAAAAGAACAATTTAAAAAAAAAGTGTTCTTTAAGGCTTAAAGCCTAAACATCTGGAAACATTCCTACACTTAACCAGTTGTGCATTTGCACCAAAATAACCTAGAGAACCGGATACCATCCGATGAGCTCGGATGAGATTTGCGTTATAGATCTGAGGTGTGCCGGCCCGGATGGAGCAGTTAATCATGACATTAACCTTTACAACCAAGTTTTAACCTTTATACTAATCATGTCATAAATTCTATATTCATAAAGCGTTTAGCTCTTTTTAAATCTTAACATGGTTGATTGATTCCTGGTGCTGTGTATGCGCCACACCTAGCGCCGTCAGCTGTGGTATTAACTTAATAATGCATAAAATGCTCATGGAGGGTCCTCCTGTCTGTTTTCTTGATTAAGTTGAAAATATAAGATTCATTTTAACTTTCGCTCTGGAAGTCCCAGTCCAGAGCGAAAGTATTTATAAAAACCCTTACTTTAAAAGTTATTATTAAATTAAATAGAAGTTTAATGCTGCAGTGTGTGAATCTCATTATCGCTTCCTTTTCTTCCTCTCCTCAGTGTTTTCATGCTGTTTGTAATCTGGCTGCTCCGACGCTATCACTCCCTGGCTCAGGTAAATTTGCACTACACTGCGCGCTGCCTCTCCGACGGTTCTTTTTTTTTTTTTCTGTTTGCTCCATTTCCACTGGAAATCTGTTCAATTAGCCATGGTAAATCTTGGTGTAATTGAACCCAATTAAAATGCACAGATTAATGAATCGGGGGGGGTGTTAATTGACTCACGGTCATTCTGTGATAGCGACTGCAGTCCCGAGCTTTTTCTCTTTTCCCCCCCACCCCCTTCCCCTCTCTTCAAGCGAAGCTGTTTAAATAAACGTAATATTTATGGATTTCTTCCCCCACCTTTTCACTCTCCAGCTTCTGATTCCCTCTTCTTTATATCGAAGGGATTTAGCTTTCATAAAGAGTTTGTTTGCGGCGTTGCTGTGAGCGTGCAGCTTCAGGATGATTTTGTGTTTTCTGAACCCGGTCCAGCAGGTCCGTCTGGTTCAGCAGCGCGGCACGCTATCCTTGTAATCTGAAGTAAATGACAGTTTAGCGTGAAGCTCTCCGACGGAAACCCATTACCTCCGGACCAGATTGCCGAGAGCGACCTCGCGTCCCCCTACGCTTCCCCTCCCCCTCATCTCATTCCTCCTCCTCTTCTTATACAACATAAACCTTCTCCTTACTTGCATCCTCTCTGAAAAGGTTATCTGTCAGTCAGTAGTCTTTAGTGCTCTCAAGGCCCTTCTGCGCGCTTATTGTGTCTTCCCCTCCCTCCTCTCCACCCCCTTTCCGTAGCCTTGGCAGGGTCACTGCAAGACATGAATTGATAAAGGGCTCTGTGTGTGTGTGTGTGTGTACGCGCGCGTGTGTGCGTGTGCACGCGTGTGTTTTTCTCGCTGTGTGCAGCCACAGATTATTACCGCCGCTGCAGGAAAATATGAGTGGTGCGTACCATGGTTCCTGTAGTCTGCGGATTATTGATTTGTTTTACATAAAATGAACAATTTCAGAGAGGAAACGGGAGATCTGTGTCTGCTGTGATAATTTTCCAGCGTTGTCACGGAGATGGCATTCAGCAGACTTCCTGGACAAGTATGAAGCATATCCTGTGGTATCATAAACAGTCTGTCCGTCCGTCCGTCCAACCACGTATCTGTCAAACCATTTCTAATCATCCAACCATTTCTGATTAATCCTTCCTTCTGTCCATCCAACCATCTCCTTTTTGCAGATTCTGTATTTAAACGTGGGGGAGCACTGTTGCCTCACAGACAGGTTGTGTGTTTTAATGCGTCTGGGCTCTGCATGGAGGTTGCAGGGTCTCTCTGCGTACTCTGGCTTCCTCCAAAATAACAATACATAGACTGTCAGGTGGTAATCGGCCTTTCTACAATGCCCTTAACTGTGTGTGGGTCAAGGCCCTGTGATGGACTGGGAACTTGTTCAGTGTGTGCCCCGTTTCTCGCCCAAAGACTGCTCAAGATGGACAACCCCTTCCTGCAAGGTTAAGGGAATTTGGACAATTCATGCATGCAGGCACATTTACAGTCAGAGGCAGAGGTCAGGCTGCAGTCCCAGCAGAAAATTCATTCATAGGGAACTTCTGCACTTATACCTTAGAAATTGAAAGTGGTAAAAGGAAATGGACAGAGAAGTCGGCAAATGCGATTCTTTTAAAGGTATGGGATTTCTATATGATAAATGAGCAGAAGCGCGGCTACGCCGAGCTGTCGGCTACATTAGGGATCATTCCGGCTATAATTTGTCCTCCTCCGTACGCGAACATAAATGCACTCGGGCATTTTCACTCAGGGTGTTGCATTTGAAATTCCTTCTTCATGTCTTTCTCTTAAATTTCCACGCCACAGAAGATGATTCTCAGCCTGACTGTAGCCGCCTTCTTCGACAGCGTAGCATATGTCATGGTGAGTTACTCTTGTCTGTTACACTCAAAGCAGACTGTGGCTGAGCCTTTTTTTAAATGCTTTCCTATGCTGCTTCTCGCTCGTTCTCCAGGGCGAAACCCATCCGAAGGGATCTCTCTGCAACTTCCAGGCCTGGTGGCTGACATACTTCGGTAAGGCAGACTTAAATTAATTGCTCGCTGGCACGGCTTTGCACGAGCCGGGCGGGGAGCGGAGAAAATAGCTGCGATCTAACACACGTCTGATGCCGAGCTCGTACATCACCACAGCAAATAATATTGCTTTGTCGTTTCCTTTTTATCGCTCCTGAGCAAAATGTGCCTAAACAAGTTGGGAGTTTCTTCCAGGAATGATGCGGGTCATTGTGTGCGTTTATTACATAATAAACTGATGGTTTCAGTTGAAGACTCTGGTTTAACTTCATAACATTATTGTGGTCAAAATTCTTGAAGGCTTATGGCTTCAGAAGCACCAACCTAGCAATCTAGTGAAAATTAAATTCTTGGTCTTGCATTTGGGCACGACATGTCCACAATCAGATGTCTGCGTTGTGTCTGATTGATTTGATGTTTACGGACAACAAATGTGAAAAGAGTGGCTCCAGCAAAAACAACAACAACAACAACAACAACAAACGAAGAACGGTTTTAAATGTAAACCCAAATTTAAGCTGGTTGGTCTTTCAAAAGGCAGAGGAGGATAATGGTATCAATAAAACTGTAGAGTTTCTTGTAGGATGATTCATTCCCCCCTTGAACTTTTCCGCAGTCTGTCACATAACAACCGTAAACTTTAATGTATTTTATTGCGAATTTTATGGGGGAGATCAAGACAAAGTCGTGCATGACTTTAAATCGGAAGAAAATAGATACATTCATTTTCAAAAATCCCTTTACAAAGAAGGTGCGTGCAGCCCAGTGAGTCAAGGCTCTGTGGATTCACATTGTGTGCCGCAGTTACAGGTGCAAGTCTTTTGGGGTACGTCTGCACCAGCTTGGCACATCTGGGGGCTAAATCTGTTTGCCGGTTCCTCTTTGCATAATAGCTCAAGCAGCAATTGGATGTAGAGCATCTGTGAACATTCAAGTCTTGTCGCAGATCCTCACTTGGATTGAATTAAGATCTGAATTTCCTTTTAAGTTTTTTTGCTGCATCCAAGAGATTTTCTTTCAGTATTTTCCTGTGTTTGACTCCATCCAAACCCAGTCCCAGACAGCATGATCACCGTGGAGATGGTTTGTGATGTGTATTTTGTATTTAGACCAAAGCACTTTTTTCCACATGTTTGCTGCCTCCCTCAAGATGTGGAGAACTGCAAACTGGACCACTCTTCTATGAAAGCCCGATATGCGGAGTGCATAGACTCCCTGTTGACAGAAAGGTCCACCTGAGCAGTGGATTTCTGCAGCTCCTCCAATGTTACCATGGGCCTATTGAGTGGTGCAGGCATGAATGCAGTGGACAACAAGGCATGCCATTTTGCCTTATTTTTTCATTTAGCAGCCCAGTTAGCAGCAAATTACACACTATCTAAAACAAACAGGAACTCAGAAACTTAACAGAAAATAGATTATTAAAAAAGCTTCTCTGGTGAGATACAGACTACTTGTAAGGATTTCACACAATTCAGTTTTACTTTAAGAACAGTTGGCCTCTTTTTGCTTAACTTTAAGTTTCACGTAGTTTCATGTTCTTTAGCACATCACATCAAGGAGTCATTGCTTAAAGTTTTATGACAAAATAACTTTCTTTCAATACAACTCCGTGACGACTTTCGTGAGGGATTTCGGATGTAGTTTCTAGGCTACAGATAGTTGTGCACAATAATATGGCAGTTAGTGCAAGTTGATAATGGTGACAGAAGGGCAGTTTCTCACAATTATAAAATTGACTGTTCAAAAGGCTTACAAGTGCTTTCTTCTGCAGTCATCTGATATTACTGCTTTCTTGGCAGGCTTCTATCAAGTATTACGGTGGCATGTCAAGGCCTGAGCCAGAATGAGATTCTCACAGTTTAAAAACTATAAGAAAGAAAAAAAAATCACAGTAATGTGGTTTTTACAACCAATTTACACCCAACTTGTATAATGTGATCTAAATGCTTTTATTTAAAGGAGAGTAAAAAAAAAAAAAAAAAAATCCTACTTCTGCTGAAATTATGTAACGTATTCATTCACACAGTTAATATAATATAATAAAATCTTGCCATTCTGCTCTTTACAAAGTAACACTTGACTGATGTCAATTTGGATGTCAGCTGGTCAATTAGTCAGGTCGCACAGTTCTGCTCCCTGAAGCTTGCCAACTATTGTTTTAAAATGCTGTTCCTGAAGAGATTGATCTGCAACTCTGCTTTCATTTTTCACACCATGACTATACATGTTTTTTATGACAGAAAATATCAGCAAGCATCCATTTTGTTTTCTGTGAACTTGGGGTGGGGGGTAGGTAGAATGTGTTTTGTAGGAATCTCACAGGCAGTATGCAGGAACAGGCACTACAGTGCAGACAGTGAGATCTCTGGTGGACGTGGTGTAGCATGATGGAAATTTTTTATTTTTATTTTTTTAGACTACGGTATCCAGCTCACACCTAGTTTTGTTGTTGTTCTCATTCGTGGAAAACTAAGTGCTGCTGTTGCTTTTAAAGATTGCAAATAGTGTGCAAATTTCTGTAACATGCTGTGATGTTAGGCTTGCGTTAAAAAAACATTTAAACCTGAAAAGTTGCTAGAAAACAAGACTTAGATTTAAAAAGAGAGAGAGAGAGAGAGAAAGAGAGAATGCGTGCTTTACCCAACTGCTCGATCACTAGTGTTGTTTAAAGACGATAAGAGTACACTAAGAAGCGCTTTCCCTTTGCTGGCGATGTATGCGACATTTCTAACATTTTTATGTTCTTAAAAAGAAATTCAAGTAAATTTGACGTTAAGGAAGTGGCTAGACCAGCATTTCTCTGGAGTGTTCTCTCAGCTGTGCCAGAAATTTCTTTACCGTCAGTGAGTCAGACCTTGAGACGCCCTGAATGAGGCATCTCGGTGTTTCATCATCATCCTGTGTTTGAGGAGACGGCTCTAGTTCAATGACGGAGCGGTACGTTGCTATGTAACTCAGAATTACCTGGAACCTTAAGAGGTGGAACTAAAACTACGATTCTCTGAATTTTAGCCAAATTTACTTTCCAGGAAGAATATTTTTTTTTCTGTCTGCACAAGTGGCGTTTCGGGCTTTAGCCTTAATTGTCAAGACGGATTATTAACCGAGATTGTTGAATCATGCAGCATAATAGCCAGTGGAGTCGGTGCTGGAGGGGGTAGCTGGAGGCACGAACGTCAGCAAGTCTAGCTGGAGAAGCAAAACTCAAATCAGCTTTTAACTCCGAGGACCAAATGTTATTAAATGTGCTTGGAATGATGGAAGACGGCGGGAGGAGGGCAGCGCCCGGACAGGTGGCGAGGCTGAGCTCGGTGTCGTTAAGCTAAAGAAAGGCTTCGGCTGCTTTCTGGTTACATAATGCACATTTGCAATGACAGTAATTGTGACTTATTGTGATAATACCGCTTCCGGCTTAGACATAGCTCATTTCAAATGCTCCTTAAGCGTGAGAAGAGTGTGGGTGCTGTACCGTATGGGTTGTGCTCGCTTGTATTCGAATAAACAGAGGCACACACTGACTGTTTTGAAGGGGCTAAAAATTAAGGTAGAGAAAAGGTTTTAGCACTGAATGCAATGGCTTGGAAAAGTTTTAGTCTTCTTTTTTTTCCCACAGTACAACAAACTTTAGTGTGTCTAAATGGGATTTTGTTTGACATAGCAGCACAAGATAGGGCACAATTCTGAAGTTGAAGGAAATTGGCCTGGCTTTAAAAGCTATGACAGACTTCGCTTCTCCTCTTGAAGGAAAACATGCCCATAACATGACACTGCCGGTACTGTGTTCACTTTTTGCATTAAATCTATACTAATACTTACATCTTTAGTTGCACGAAGATATTAAACCAAACCAGGAGGACAGAGCACATCACCTCAGTTCCAAAATCCTCACAGTGGCTTCCTGAGAATAAACTTCAAAGTACTTCTCTTGGTTTATAAGTCACTGAACGACTTGGCAACAAAATACACCAACGTCTTGTTGCTGTTGGTTGTATCAGTCTTCCTGACCGCTCAGGTCTTCTGCTTCTCATCTGCTTTGCATCCCCAGAACCAGAACCAACCACGCAGAAGCAGCATTTCAGTTCATATGCGCCACAAATCTGGAACAAACTTCCAGAAAACTGCAAAACTGCTGAAACACCAAACTCCTTTAAATCAAGGTTGAAAAGCCACCTTGTATGAGCTGCCTTTGATTCATAACAACTGAAACTTTATGATTAGCATATTTGATGTGTATTTGCTCGATCATTTTGATGATGGCATTAGACAAAATGTAACTTTTATTGCTCGTTTCATAATTGGTGACTGAATTATGTTCTTATGATGTAAGGCCCTTTGAAACGGCCCCTTGCTGAAATGTGGTGAACAAATAAACTTGACTAGACTTGCATGCTGACTAAAACGTTCAGATTTGTTCTAAATTGATCAGAGTGCCTTCTTGCATGCTTCCTGTGTGTTGTGCATTCCTTGTGGCAAACTGAATAATAATAATAATAAAAAAAACAATAAAATGTGTACGTGACAAAAAGGATTAGGGCCTGAATAGTTCCCGCACGTTAAAATAGGCGTCAATCTGACTGAATGTTCCTCCTCCTCCACTCATGTCCACTCTGTCTCCCCACCCGCTCCCATCCTCCTCTCTCCTGTTATCTCCTCCTGCGTTTCCACAGTTCATCATTATCTCTCCGTGAGCTCCCGCCTCTCATCCATCACCCAAAGCTACAGGTTTCCCTCATATTACTGCAGAATGGGCCTTCATTTATCAAAAGTGGAGCGCACGCATGCATGCCCGCATGCGTGCGCACACGCTGTCGCACACGGGCTTGTGGGTGTGCGTGCGTGCGTGCGTGTGTGCGCGCGCGTGCGCGTGTGTGTGTGTGTGTTGGGACGCACGTTCGCAGGTGCGCGGTGTGTGGCGGCGAGCTGGGCTGTAATTTGACCTTGGTGTTTTTCTCTCTGCAGACTGGAGTGCCTTGGCCTGGGTTTGCCTCATTACCCTGAACCTGTATCTCAACCTGGTCAGGGAAATAAGCACCAACAGATATGAGAAGTGAGTAATTTGGCCCGCTATCGCTTAAGAGTACCTATTCAATTTTTTTTTTTAACGCTTTAAAGCTGATTTTAAAACTGGGAGAAAAACATGCAACAGAAAAGCCATTAAAGACGAATTAAATCACCGACGACCAGTTATTAATCGCTGAATGATTTCCATATCTGCTCTCCAGTGGCGCTTTCTTCTTCTCCCACTCTGCATGTATTTGTTTCCTGTTTTGTTTAAAGTGCGTCCTTCTTTACGTGTTTGCGTTTTGTGCATGTGTTTGGTCTACATTAGCATGTGTCTCCCCACCAAGCTCAGACAGCCCTCCCTCCCCCCTGCCGCCTCCTCTTCTTCCTCTTTCGGCCAGCTGACACTCTAATTGAAATGGGAGTGTCAGCCGTTAAGTGTGTCTCAATGTGTGTGTGCGCGTGGTGTGTGCCCACCCATCTTCACGCTTTTTGGCTCCGTGTTGTGGTCGCTCATACTCCCATGAGCACTTTTCACAGCAAAGTGTGAATTTGCCTTTGTGTGTGTGTGTGTGTGTGTATGTGTGTGTCAATCTTCATACTTGGTGCCCAGCTCTGTTGGTAGAAGCACACATTTAAAAATATACGAAAATTGAAGGCAGAAAAAATAAACCACCTTCATTGCAAGTTATGTTTTTACTTTCAGCTGGGGTAAAAAACAACACCTTATGTGCTTTAGAGTGGGTTCCCTACCGCCACCACCCATGGGAGTTTTCCTGCATTGATTAGTAATAAGCCAGACAATATAATGGTGATATAACTCATGAGTAGATGGCTTTATGTGCGCCCTGGAAGGGCAAAGTAGGAGGCGAGAATCAGTTTGATTCAAAGCCACACATGTCCTATAACGGTAGAGTGAGGACGATGGGAGGAGATTTGTTTGGTGGGGTTAAGGAAACTGAGGTTCAGATGAGTCAGAGAAGAGGCGTCAGTGGAGCTGCTGTTTGCTGACCGAACTTTGATAAGAGTTTCTGACATGGAGTCAAGAGTATGAAATATGATTCAGATCTGGAGTGTGGAAAAGTAAAGGATGGACGGATTTTTGGTAGAAGCCCCAAATCCAACCAACCAACCTACCTACCTACCTACCTACCTACCTACCTACATACCTACATACCTACCTACCCACCTACCCACCTACCCACCTACATACATACATACATACATACATACATACATACATACATACATACATACCCACTGCAGAAAAGATCGGTCACGAGTTCATAGCAAACTTTTCTATTCGCACTTCAAAAACATTCTAAAAATGGACTGGAAAAGCGTGGAATTATGGCAGGAATAATACATAAGAAGCCTGTGATAAGTTTATGTGTTTTGGCAGGTGGGGTTCAGCTTTGCATGCATGCGCAATTACCCCTCGGGCCTCTTTAACCCAACCTTCCCCCCACGCTCTGGCTTTCACACCCACAGTATCGCTCGACTCAGTTGACGGCTCAGCGCGATGGTTTATGAATGAACAAATCGCCAGAGGAGACGGAGAACGGAGGCTTTATGATCTAAGAATGATTGAAGCGGATGCAAGAGCGGGTAGGGAGTTGGATCGTGTGTGCGCGGGTAGAGCTGCGTATGTGCCTCTAAAAAAGTAGGAATCCAGGGAAAGTGAGCGTGTGATGAGGGAAGAGAAAGATGGCCAAAGACGGAGGAGTGGGAGAGAAAAGGTGGTGCGAGGCGGTGGGAAATGAGATTGTGCCTTGCGAGGGCTGCGTGTGTGTGTGTGTGTAAAGCTGTGCGCAGTGCCGTCCTGCTGTGCCTCATTAAACCCATGTTGTGTGGAGCTCCGGACCTCGTCATCTCCCCCTCAAAGGCCCTGTGAGGTGTTCGTGAAGTTGGGTTGGGGCGAGGAAGTAGCTCTCGACAATGATTTCCTAACAACCACCCTTCCCCCGCTCCCTCCCCACCACACCGAATTGCAGCCATGTGCTGGCGGTACAGATTTCCCCATTTTTATACATCACGTCGCCTCCCTGACTCTTTGTTTATTATTTCTTTTCTGTGTGCCTTTCGTTCTCCAAATGTTTCCCATTTCCTCCCACTGCTTCCCGAGCCCTCTCATGTTCGTTCCAAACACAACCTCCATCTGGATTCCCTCCCACCCACCGATGTGCTCTATTTAAACCCGCCGCCGTCACTTTTCCTCCTCCACCTGCCGAGCGCGCTGTGCGCTGTCAGTCAGAGGGAGGCGGAGGGCTTCGAGGGGCGCGCGGCTCGACCCTCTGACGTAGAGTGACAGAACGTGTGTGTCTGTGTGGCACACCACTCGAGGGGAATCGAAAGCGTGTCAGCCGTGTCACTACTGCTCGATTGACCGTACTCGGAGCAAGTCAGGGGAGGACTTCCACTCTATTGACCAGGCGACGCTGTACGCTCTATAAAGTATCGACTCCCAACACAGGCGCCCAAGTCACTGGGCCACACACCTTGTCTGTCTGACACACGCACACACACACACACACACACACACACACGCACACACACTTACACCGGCGTCTTGAAAAGCTGGTGCTATTGTATTTCAGTTATGAGTCTCTGCAGCCTCTTTAACCTTTTCCCTTAAAAACAGTAAAGAGCTCAAATTTTTTACATGATAGAGGCAGACTGGTTCTCACATTTTAAGATTCCTTGTCTTGAACATTTTTACATTCACGTTATATTACAGCCACAAACGTCTAAGTATTTTAATAGGATTTGATGTGACGAAGCAGCTCATAATTGCGACCATAATTCGGTCTAAAAAGTGTGGAGTGCAAACGAGCATAATGAAGCCCAATATCGGTGTTGTCCTTCATCCAAGTACAAAAACGGTATAGCACGTGCTACACCTACCCAGAAAATGTCCACCCGGCTTTACTGACTGGCAAGACAATTCAAAGAAGAAGCCAAGAATCTCAGGGCAACTTTGGAGGAGGTGGTGTATGAATCTGTTCATACGACAATTATCAGTTTTATGTTCTACAAATCTGACCTGTTACGGAGCATCAAGAAGAAGGCTATTACTGAAAAAGACAGAATCATGTATAAGAAGTGCTCTAGTCAGATTCATAATAAACTTCTTGGCCTTTCAAACAAAGGACAAAATGTGGCAGAAAACTGACTTTGCACATCACCCTGAACACACCGTCTTCCCAGGGAAATACGGTGGTGGCAGCAACACACTTTTAAGAGTTGAGTGGAAGATGGATGAAGCTTAATACACGACGATCCCGGCAGAAAAGCTATTAGAGGCTGCAGAAGCCCCTAGGCTTAGGTGGAGGTTCGCCTTTTGGCCGGACAGTTACCCTAAAATTACAGCCTAAACTGCAGTGGAATGGTTTAGATCAGAGCATGTTCCTGTTTTGACCTAAACATTACCTTACTACGCAGTTCTGCTCGATTATCAACTTCCATCAGTGCTCCGTCAGATTTCTCCCAATTGGGAGAATTTCAGTTGGACCAATTGGCGAACAGAAAGAAGACTTGTGAACAGCGACTTTGATTTTCTGCGCTGTTTTTGAATTAGAGTCTGCTAGTAAGGGGTATAGATTGGCAATGAAAGCTGAGGTAGCGAACAAATGTCGAGCTGTTAAAGTCAGACCGAGAGGAATGCTGAAGACATTTTGTTGCTGGCAAAGATGTTGTTCCACTCAGCACTTCTCTTTTTGCAGTGGAGGGGGGTGGTTTACAGCGCACGCAATTTCTGGTAAGCTTCATAGCATAGCGGGCTCTTTGCATGCGTCATGGTAAAACATTAGCAATCCACTTTTTTAAAACTTCAGCAGAGTCCACGCCTCCAGCAAGCAATCGTTACGCTATAGCTGAGGGTTTAATCTCTCTGGAGAAGTAAGGCGTAGAACAAGGCGCTATTTTTTTTTCCCGGGCTACCTAGGTATACACTGGACCTAAATCTAATCAAGACTCTGTAGAAAGACTTGAAAGTGATATTCAGAGATTCTTTCCAACTCACAAGACTGAGCTTTAGATATTTTGCGAACGGGCAAAAATGTCTGCCTCAAGCTGTGCAGCTGTGGAGGCACATATTCCAAAGCATAGGCTCACATTTGTGCCAAATTTATAAAGAAGTGCCATGCATGAGTTTTCCTCAACTTCATAATTGCTCACCATGTCTTCTCGGTCTATCATTGGAACACCCAATGAAATACACTGAAGTTGGCGATTTGCAAAACGAAAATAATGTGAAAAAGTTTGAAGAGTGTGAATACTTTTGCAAGGGACTGTACATCACCAGGACGTGCTGAGTGAGAACACACCCTGTTTGCCGCTTTCATCCAAAGATATCCTCTGAAAATCATCTTGTCCCCAACAGTTAGGCTAATTATAGTTTATATCAGTGTGAGTAATTGGCTGTCTGGCTGTATAGACGCTCGTTGGCATGTGAAAAATGACCCTGATGGCAATGCCAACAGAAGGGATGAACTAAAGAACGAAAACACTGATTCATACTCGGACTGTATTTTCCTGAAGTTATTATTTTGGACGAAACTGCTTTTATAACGAGTTAAATGTCTGATTTTTGTCAGGTTTTACCATCTGATGGCGTGGGGGTTACCTCTGGTCATGGCCTCTTTGCCGCTGCTGAGAGGTTGCTACGGCCCCGCGGGAGCCTGGTGGTGAGTTTCCTGCTTTCGCTAAGGCCCTTGTTCTAACTCTGGATTCCCTTAAGTAAGAGTTTTAAAAAAAAATTGGCAATTATCGACGCATCAGATGACGGTCAACTATCTGCTGGAAGGTTGTGAGAGGGGAAAGAAAGTGGGAAGAGGCCGAGGTGAGGAGGCGGCGGAATGAGAATTGGGACAGAGCCGTATAATCTCCGGGCTCGGCTCTCTCTTTCCACTCTCCGCTTATTAATAGCTGCAGCTGCACGGCTTTTTCCTCTCCGCAGTCACACAAGTCTCCCCTTCCGCTCTCCCTGCAGCCCACTCATCGCTCTCCCCTCTCTGTTTCTCTCTCTCTCTCTCTCTCTTCTCCCCAGCTGGATCACAGACGATCACGTAGCCTGGAGATTTGGGATGTAAGTAGACCCTTTCAGCGCTGCCATCAAAGCTTTTCCCCCCCAAAGCTGTATGGAGGGGAGGGGGTGAGACTGGGAGGAGCAGGGGGAAGAGAAGGGCTGTCTCTGCGGGGAAATGTGAAGGGTTACATGTCAGGGGAGCCCACCCCCGACTCCTTGAAGTACGTGTGTCTCCCTCCGCTCTGTCCGATTTAGTGGGAGCCGCTACGTTGTGGTTTTAACTGTTTAGGACGGCTATGACGGATTACGCCTGTCTGCTGCTTTCTGCAGCTGGTCCTAAGCCTGCGAGTGCCCTGCCAATCCCCGCGGTGCGCGTACTTAAACACACATCCGCGCACGTGCGCACGGCTCCCCTCTACGAGCCAAGGTAATCGCATTGCTGCTTGCAGCATCAGCAGGGAATCAATCTTTTAAAACAAATAAGCACACACACACACACACACACACACACACAAACGCAGAGAACACGCAGGCAAACGGAGAACAACACACAGCTATCAGCCGTGCTAAAGCGAGCTCGTGTCTCTTTTATCAGCGCTCCTCTCTGCTCCCCGGCTCTGTCTGGTTTTTCCGCGCTGTTGTGGCCCAGGGGGACGCGGCACTCGGAGGATCAGGGAATCTTCATTAGCTCTAATTACATCAAACCAGACGGGAGATTAGAGGCCAAGGCAGCACCCGTCAAGAAGATGGGGGGGGGCGGCGGGGGGGTGGGAAACACACACACACACACACACACACACATACACCCAGCCTGGCAGCAGCATGTGGGAGGGCAAAGTGTGCAGTGTTAAAGGTGAAAAATGAAATAGGTGGGAGGGATGGCATACGGGATACAGTTAGTGAGACAGGGAATTACTCAGCACGAGAGGAGGAACGTGCGGATGCGGAGCAGGACAGGAGGGAGAGCGAGAGAAATAGATTGTCCTCGTTTCTGCCCCCCCACACCCCGCACCCCGCCTCGTACCCCCTGTACCCCCCGTACCCCTCCTCCCCCCTTGCTTTGTAGTGTGTCTTCATCAGAGCTCAGCGAAGCGCGCAGACAGAACAGAGGAGACGGGAACTTTGGAGGAGGAGGGTGTGAACGGGGATGAAAGAGGAAGGTGAATAAAAAGCAGAGGACAGTGTGTGTGTGTGTGTCTGTATATATGCATGTGTGTGTGTGTGAGAGAGATGGAGGTGCAGAGTTTCAGGGGCTGAGTCAGCAAATGGAAGCGCCGGAGCTTAGCTGAGTCACCGCTCTTAAGAAGTCCCTAGTTGGTGTGTGTCATCGGTGCCACTGACATACAGCTGTGAAAATGACATTCACAAATGAATCAGTTGGACTTTTTTAAAAGAAAAACTCTTTACTATGTTGCTGTGGAAATGGAAACCTTGCCATTTCGGTAAACACATCGGCCCAGATTGGGACATATTAAGCATGTTGTGATCTTGAGACTTTGCTTCAGCTTTAAATGAACTTCCTTCAATGCCTTAAGGTGTGTTCAAGAGATTTACACTGCACACTTTAGCTTTTGTGTTTCAAGCATAGTCACTCAATTACTACAAGACATTCCAAAGGTTGACATGTTGTATTATGTTACAATCACAAACTTTGTGGGCACACACACACACACCTATCTTACCAACTGTCAGCCTAACCTGCCAAGAGGGGACTTCTGTTTCTAGTTTGTTGAAAAAGCAAAAACCCGATATAAAATGTACTTTACAGCTCTGTTACCATAATATAACTGAAGATTTGACTTTTAGTCATTTTTAAAGAAGTTGCCAAGAGGGGACCTAGATCTCTGAGCGACGTTTACAAAGTGGGAACCTTCACATACTGCAGTACAACTGTCTGTACCCATATTTTGACCTAAACAGCAGTTGCTTACTACAATGAATTACTTCAACTCTTTTAAGAAATTGATGATTTAACTTGAGTGACATTATTTAATTAATTGTTCTCAATACAAATATTACCCAAAAAGTGGAATTATGGCCACATTTATTTGGGATTTTATGTGATAGACGAACTCAAAATATTGCATTAAGTCATTTTGAGTATGTGCTTTTTTTTTTTTTTTTTTTTGCATATGTAGAGTTCGAAATGTTTCCTCATTCTTTGCAAAGTTTAAAAGTTAGTCAGATTGAATGGTGAAACTATGAGTGTGTCATTTTTTTTAACCTCTGCTGCAGATTTTCAATCGGGTGAGGCCTTGACTTTGACTGGGCTGTCCCAACACATGAATCTGATCTAAACCTTTCCGTTGCAGTTCTGGTTCTATGTTTGGAGTGTGAACCTCCTGCCCGTTCTCAAATCTTATACAGCCTCTAACAGGTTTTCTTCCAGGATTTTCCAGTGTTTAGTTGTACCCATCTTCTCCTAGACCTTCACCAGCTTTCCTGTATCTGCCAAAAGACAGTATCCCCACAGCATAATGTCACCACCACCATGCTTCACCATGGGGATGGTGTGTTCAGGGTGATTTACGTTGTTCATTTTGTTTTCCACCAGTCATAGGGTTTAAGGCTTTATTTCAACAGCAGTTTTCTTCTTGATACTGATTTACTTATTAAGTGATTTGTGATGTCAGTTGTTCACACTGGACTTTTTTAGGGGTATCGGAATAAAGATATTATGCACTCGACAGCTTTATGTGACTTTCTGTTGATCTATAAGATAAAGTCCCAATAAGTTACATTGAACTTTGTGGTTGCAAAATGTGGAAAAGTTCAAGTGGTGTGAATACATTTGCAAGAAATTATACAATACTGCATTCAATAATGCACAACCTTCACTTTACAAACTCTGCCTTTGTTTTCCTTCTTAAAAGCTGTCCTTTCAGGTCTAAGTGAATGAACCAGTGCAGCAAATAACTTAATATTTCAACAAAACGTTTCACATGCAGATACAAGAACCTAACTTGGCACAGTTGTTCCCAGCTGCTTGCTTTATTGAAGAAAAGAAAAAAAAAAGATTGTTCTGCTGATCACATAAAAAATAGCTTAAATTAACACTAAGCCACTAAGCATGTAAAAAATTAGTAGTGGCTAACGCTACACTGCTAAACACATAGAACAATTAGCGGAAGTTAACGCTAACCATTAAGATGACTTTCTCCGAGTCTGTGCCACATGTCTTCGTCTCCATCCAGTCGTCAGCTGGTGTGAGACTCGCAAACAGCCTCAGTTTCAGTTTTACCATCTGGTTTCGCTACGTTTTATTACTTGAAGGTTGCATGATTACGATGACTAAAGTCAAAAATAAATGTGATATAAAGTTCATCCAAGTCATCAAAATGGGTGAAGTTTTGTGACAGTAATTGGATGGCGGCCATCTTGAAAAATGACCGTCGTCCTGAAATTCAAGTGGCTAATGACAAATATGAAAAACATATGAGGTGAGTGGTGAGCATGCAAATTGTTATGCTCGTATCCACAGTTGAATTTTTTTTTTTTTTTTTTTTACAGTAATTTGATGCATTAAACAGGAAAACCAAAGTCTTGATGGCTGCAGTTAAGCCTCCTGTATACTGAACCTCTCAGTTGGGCATTATTCTTCTCTATAAAGCAGCACTGGGAGACGAGAGATTGTATCTGTTCTTATTGATTATGACCTTCTGACATGCTCATGCCATCCACAGCATCTCTCTGGTCATCTGTATTTCATGCATGCTCCCGTTGTCGATCTGTGAGGATCAGCATCTTTCTGCTGCTGCTTTGATTCCCACCTTCACCCTGTTTTTAATCACCAAGAACCGCTCTCTCTCTCTTTCTCTCTCTCTCTCTTTTCTTCCCTTCCGATCGCGAGCCACAATCTGCCGCCTATTCCTCCACCTTTATGTCCTCACCTCTATTCATGTCCTCACTTTTATCATCTGCGGCCCACTCCGCGCTTCTGTTTCGTTCCCCCTCTCTGTCTCCCTCTTGCTCTCTTCGGGTAGTGCTCAGCTGTAGAGCACAGCGGACTCTAATGGCAGATCATTATCATGCTAATTAGAGCACTTTGTAGCTGCCGCCCGTCATTCTCTCCTCCTCACAGCCCCCTACACTATCGTTAAAAAGGCCACCCCCCCTTCCCCCTCCCCTCATATCCCCTCTCCGCCAATCCGCCCGCCTCCCCACCTCATCCCCCTCCCCGAGCTCGTCTTTCCATCATTAACGGGACGGGCGCTGGCGTAATTGGACGCTGTTTATTCCAGCGAGCAGGTTATTAAATCACACAGAGGTGACGCTCGCGCAGGTCTCCCCTCCTTGAAAAGCTTTTATCATCGTCCCATGGCGGTGTTCATGGCGCGGATGCGTGCATGCCGCAGAGGTCCAACAATTTTTTTTGGGGGGGGATTCATATTTGTCCAGACTCAAATTTCCTCTCTCTTCAGTCCTTTAAACCCGTTCTCAAATAGAAAATTTACTGTCACTATGAATAAATAGGGAACCTGGAAACGACACAGGCAAACAACGAGGGAAGGAATGTCACAATAATAGAAGTAAGGAAGGACACAACGAAGGGAGAAGGGAAAGTCTCAAAGAAGGAAGGAAGGACAGACACAATGAAAGGAGGGAGGACACAATGTAGGATGAGAGGAAGGAAGGATGGACAGACAAAATGGTGGAAAGGACCATCTCAAGGAATGAAGGAAAGGAGGGGGAAATGAGGGGGAGAAAAAGCAAAGGAAGAACACAAGGAAGAGGAAAAACAGGACACGGTGAAAGAATGGAGGAAGTGTTTGACAAAATGAAGGAAGGGTCTTTGGAGGAGGACACAAAGAGGGAAGTAAGAAAGGATACAAGAGAGGAAGAATGAATGACACAAGCATGAAAGGACAGAGCAAACACAAGGGCCGAAGGAAATTGTGAAGGACACATTAATTAATAGGGAATACGGCGTAGAAAGAGACGTATGTTCTCATGCCTACAGCCACATGCCGAAGTTTTTAAGGCAGGGAGAGTATTCATCGGCATGCTTACGTTCTCTGTTAGATCAGAATGCACAGACATGTGAAACATAGGTTCCCTCCTCTTCATACCGCCGTCCCAGATTCTCCTTTTAGAGAAAAGTTTAGGTCGATTGTGCTCAGTGAGTTTCTTCCCATCCTCAGGCATGGGTCTCAAGCATGGGCAAGCCTAAATTAGGTCAAGGACCCAGTATTTGCCTTCTGAAAGACTTCTAAAAGATGCTGTGTGGAGGATTCATGCCAAGGACTTTCCTGGCACAGGAATGTAGATTTAATCCCAATCCATTTTCCTTTGAAAGAGTCTGGCCACACATTTATAGGTCAGCGACAAATTCAATCTTCCTCTTTGTTTTAAATGTCACTTCGACGTTTTTCTCTTTTTATAACTTCCAGTAGCCGTCCTACGCTCTACCTTGTATCTTTACAAGATAGACTTTTCCAGTGCCAGATTCTCAGAAGGTGCCGAGCGGCGCGGTCGTGACTGACTCCGAGTTACTGTGGCGACCAGGAACCTGTCTATCAAAGCAAGACAAAGACCTGTTTGGTGAATACAGGGAGAGGCTGAAACTCCTCGCGGCTTACATCACCTCCCAGGAGGTTGCACAACACAAGGCTGCCACTCCAACAAAGCCAGCCTCTCATTTCCTTTGCCCGCCACATTCCCTTTCATCCACTCACAAAATACCTGACATATTATGCACCCACGCCTCCTCTGATTGGCAAACCTCACTCCCTTAGGAAGGTGGTGTATTTCCAATATTGTCACTCTGCTTGCATAATCTTTTATTCTACCTCTCAACGGTCGGAAACTCTGCGCGGTGACATCTAGAGGTGCTTAGTCAGGGGTTTTCCTGCTGTTAATTTACATGCTGTGCGTCCTCCTCGCAGCATCTATTTCACATGTGGCGGTGCAGTGTTGGCCCTCAACACTCGTCTCAGAGAATCGTCGAGAGTCTTTTAGGGCGTTTTCACACCTGATTGTCTGGTGGACTCAGTTTGATTGCAACTTTTGTTAAATTTTCAGCTAGTGTGGTTTTCTCACAGAGTGCTGCTCCTCCCCCCACCCATCACCTCTGATGGTGCTGCACTATGAACCACTGAAGGAAACAAGATGAAAACCTCAGAAGAAGACATGAACACAACTGTGTCCTTTGTCCTAGCGCTTGGATTTGCGTGTTTGTTTTGGTTGCATTTACCTAGAATGCCCTGCGCTATGGTACACTTAGCACAAGCGCTTTTGGAGGACTCTCCGGTCCGCTTGGCGTTCACATGTGCATTCGAATCACACCAGAGTTCACTTCAACCAAACTGAGACTGAGGTTTTTAGGCAGACCAGAGTTCACTGTTTTGGTCCGCCTCAGAGCTTGACTGCACATTCACACCTCCACAAATGAAGCTGACCGTCAAGGCAATGAACTAGAGTTTGATTAAAGCTGACTAAACAGGATCTGGTGTGAATGCGTCTTTAGACTGCAGTTCCTGGTAAACATCTTCCACAAAATTCTGTGTTTTTTTATTTATTTTTATGTTGACAGACCAACACAAGATAAATATAATTGTTTTTTTTTCCTCATTTAACCAGACAACCTTCTTTCATGTCTTTTCCTTTGCCCCCCCCCCCCCCCGCTAGTTAATGCTTCTCCAAGGCACTGTGCATTCCTCAACAAACAATTATGTAGTTACCTTGCTGCACTACTGCTGTGAGTAGAAACTGAATACATTTCAGCTTCCTTTTTGCTCTGTTTTGGTCACGATAAACTTCTAAAAAAGATACATTTTCTTCTAACCCCACATACCTCGCTACGTTCAGCACAAAAAGGTTTTTTCTACTGTTTGGTGTTGGAAAAAGTGGTTTTCCTGCAGGGTTTTAGATCTTTTCGCTGAAAACAGCTGCACTGCTTGCAGCAGCGAAAGTGGTAAAAAGGCATGCTGACCAGACATCTAAAAAAAAAAAATGAGGTTACTGTTAGGGGGGGTCGACTGTGGCTCAGTGGTGAAGAGCAGTTGTTGGGTTGATTCCAGCTTCCTCCTTTACCACATGCCGTGGGGCAAGGCACTCCAAACTGAACCGATCTGCCTTTTGGCGTGTGAACGAGTGTAACTCTGTGAATGTGGCTGCATTATGAAACGCGTTGAGTGGCTAGCATGACTGGAAAAGTGCTAGAATCATTTAGTTACTCTCTGTTACATTTTTTTAAGAGTATCAGTTTCAAGTTGAAAACAGAAGTGAAACTTTTAACCGATACCTGAACCCAAAACTCATCCAAAAAAGACCATTTCAAGTTATGTTCCTGCTAAAAAGCATCGTATTATTATGTAAAGTAACCATTTCTTACCAGATGCCTGTTCTGTCTTAACGTGATGTTCCTTGAAGTCATTAAGGAGGCCAAGTAAACTATATCGCAAATAACACAGCATCAGATGTGTTCTGGTTCCCTTTGCACATTTTGTTTTTCATCTTTTCGTGTCTCTGCAGATGGTACGTGCCTCTCTTCAGCCTCATCTTCCTCATGATCTGCTGCTATGGCAGAATCATCTGTGTGGCCAATAACAGAGTAAGTGATCAGCATGTTTCCCCACATAACGCAGTAGAAACAGAGTCCAATCAGTTTGATTCTGAACTTTGGGGGGGGGAAAAATCAGAAATTTAGTTGCGTTTGTGTTTTAGGTTTTCTTTTTGCCGTGACTTTTAACCCTGATGTTCCTGCAAAGGTGTCGGCAAGGTGACAAACTGGATCTCCTACATCTGATGGAGACAAAAATAGCTCGGGTTGGAAACAAACCAGCACTTTAAATACAGTATCTTGTCTGAGCTGCTTTATTTGGAGGTAAAAGTGTCAGTCAGAGATGCACCCAGCAGTCAAAGATAATTACACTCACCTAATTAACTTAGATGAAGCAGAAATGCAATCATAATTTACTTGTATTTACTTTTGTTTTTTTTTTTGTTTTTTTTCTTCTTATCTGTAAATACATTTGAACAAAAGACAATCAGGGAGTGGTTAGTTTAGGTTGGGAGTCTGCAAGCTATGACTCTTTAGTCCCCCCCCACAGGCCTTGGTAAGAATTTTGGCTGAAAATATACAGGTAAAAAGATAATTTCTATCTAAGAAAAAGGTAAAAGTAAAGGTTAGTTCATGCAGTTCCTGTGTTTGAAGAACTGCATAGAAATAATGTTATTTATGTATATATTTGAACTTTAATAGTTTATTTTCTTCATAAGATCCAGTAGATTTTGCTGGTATGGATAAGCTTGATTTAATTAGAATGAAGGGAATTTTTATTTTGGTATTGTGAATGTTTCTCATCCTTGAACCAGGTTGTACTTTGAAGTTGCTCAATATTTATCTGCAAGGTGTTGTGTGCTTCATGGATTAAATATGAAATCTGTCTGGGTTTTGGCCAGAAACAAATCCAATAATTCTGCTGTGCTTCACAATGTGTTCACACTCATTTTACCTTTTTTTTTTTTTTTTTACATTTTTGTTATGAAAAAAAAAGATTTTAAACATGTGATTGTTATAATATTGCTAAATAATGTGGCTACAAGATTACAATTAATGCACATTTTCTTGATCCTTTTTTTGATATCACACTTTGTCACAAAGTGAAACATTGTTCCTAATCTTCTGCTTCACCATCACGCTCTGCTTTGTGCCAGACTGGCATATAAATTCCCAATAAAAATGTTGTAAGTATTTGTAATGTGACCAAATGGAAAATATTTTGACAAGGCACTGAATGTATTTGAGGAAATAAGAGGAAAAATAGAAGCTGAAAACCTTCTGGAACGTTAACCATTTATGACCTTACTTATTTTTTTTAAGTTGTCATATTAGGGATGAGGATTTCCTCAACTTTCCTTTAAAACAAAAAGGAATAGGTGTCAAGTTTATGCTTAGGATTTGTTGTTGAAGAAAATCACGTCTCTCTTGTCTTTATCTGACAAGAAAGTTGTTTTCATTTTTAGGCATTTTAAACTGGGGTCAGGTCGGTTTTGTAACCAGTTCATGAACTAACTTATCTCCTTGTTGATCTGCTCTACAATTTGGCTTGAAGGTCCGTGTAACCTTCCATGTTAATGGTGCAGCAGCAGCCCGGAGGCAGCGTTATGCACATTGCACGTAACTACCATTACCTAATCTAACAAAACACCACTGAACGTGAAGCCAGTGGACGAACAGCGTCGCTTTTTGTTTTGCTTTTCATTTATTTATTCTTGTCGATTCTCGTCAACCAAACGCAAAAGAAAAGCAAAAGAGAGGCAGGCTGAAACCTCATAAGCCTCACGGCGGCCTGTTTTTATTATGAATGCCCGCATTCCTTCTTGAGGCGGCGGTGGAGTGAGAGAGATCGCGCAGATAGCCAGGTAGCAGGGCTACGACAGCAGAGAGCGACAGCAGGTAGCTGAGGGGCAGGGGGAAGGAAAAGAGGCTACGCAGCCCTTTATCATGGCTGTGATAACGAGGGGGGAATGAATGTAGCTGAACGCGGCTGCAGCTCATAACTCATTCAGCTCACAGCGTTCAGCTATCGCTCCCTCTTCCTCTCGTCTCCGCATCTGTCTTCCACCTTCCTCATTTCCTTTTTTTTTTTTGCATTCATATGTCTCTCTCGCTCTCTCTCTGACTGTACTCCCACATGTTCTCTCTGTCTCCCCCGCCCCTCTCTCCTTTCCCTCCACCGTTTTGCTTTCTCTGTCATATTTATGAAGAGCTCAAGCCTTATCTTTTTTCAGCTGGAGGCTGTCTCACTTGAAAGAATTTCACAGGCTTTGAAAGCGGGGTAGGTGGCGACTCGCCGCTAGAAAAAGGATAAAGCAGAAAAGAGCCGGGATGCTCGCCGGACACGGAAGTTCTCGCACTTTCCAGACGAAAAAGATAAGGGAGATGGGCGGACTTAAAAGACCGTGCAGATCACTGGTTTACTGGATTTTGGAAAATCTTGGACGTGATGCTGCGTGACTGTGTGAGGCTGTTCTAACTAGCCTCACACAGTTACAGGATTTTTTTTTTTTAAGCTAATGAGTCATTTCTGGCCACGCAAACACAGAGGTCTGGGAACATGGTGGCATGTTTGTAGAAAGATGCGATTTGCTCGTTTGTTTTTAAAACTATCAATACTCCCTATTCGTAACATCTTAAGCTTGGATTTATTTTATTCAGACTTTCTGCGATAGATAAGCAAGAACAAATAATTTTTTGAGTGATGTTCAGTGTTGACAATCAATTTTATTTATGAAGCACCTTTCATACTAAAACCAACTCAACAGGCTGCACAGATCAATAAAAACGAACCCACAAAATAAACAATTATCTTCCGCACCCCCAACATGGAAAAACACAGAACCGTATGGAAAAGGCATAAACTGAGCGGAAATTATGTTTTCTTTCAATATTGTTCTGTACTTAGCTCCATGCCCACAGCATAATGCTGCCACCACCATTTTTCTACAGCAGCACCGTGTGTTCAGGTTCTTTTCCACCACATGTAGTTCACTTTGTGACATGGATAATATATTTTTTTTCTTTCAGTAATTCATCAATCTTACCACTCTGTGGAGCAACAGCTGCTTTGTCAACAGATTCTCCAACGTTGACCAAAGCTGAACATTTTTCAACTTTCTCGTGTCGTGTTGCAAGCCCGCGTGTGAGTCTACGTATACAAGCGCAAAATTTCACGTACACGAGTTGCAACGGTCACTTGGATGGAAGAGGCGCTACTGGCGATTGTCGCCTCATCGGAGAAGCTACAGTACATAGGAAATGAATGGAGATGGAGCGACGTTGCCTAAGCGCAAATTTATTACCATTTGGCGGAGTGACTGTCGCTTTAGGCACTGGCTCGCTTCGGTTGCCAATCCATATGAGGCTAGGTGGATTCTGTGCAAAAAAATCTTTTAAGCTGGGAATTAATGAGGCTAAGGCAGAGAGTCATTTCCAGTGTTAAAAGGACAAAGACTTATATTTTCATTTTTGTCTGCTTTAAATTTCATTCAAGTTGGCATTAAAAAAAGTTTTTAAAAGTCTTAAATATTACTTTCTGAAACCCGCAGATCTTTTGTTTAATGCATTGAGTTTTGGCATTACGTGTGAAAATATGAAAAGGAATAGCAGGTGTGATTACTTTTGCAGGGGACTGTAGCTGAAGTTCCCACCCTCCGACTGCAGCGAAAGCGTGTTTGCTCTCAGGAGACCTGGCCGCGGCTTAATGATATTGCCACTTATTATCAGCATTTGTTGATTTTGATGGATGGTGCTGCTCAGCTGGACAACAGAGGGCTGCTGTGGAACAGCTTCAGTCTAATGACCAAATGGCTGCTCGCCCCCCCCCCCCCCCCCCCCCCCCCCCCCCCCCCCCCCCCCCCCCCCCCCCCCCCCCCCCCCCCCC